GATTAACCATTTTGGATTTGGTTTTTTTTATTCTAGATTCATACCCACCAACCTTAAATTGTTCGAGTAATAAGTTGGTATCTTGACTATTTGAATCCAAAAAGTGCCAGAGTAATGAAGTATATACTCAAGTTGAATATCTTATATCTTCTCAGATATCTAATAAAAGAAATCATTCAATTTTTTTTATCATAAACACACCCTGTTTATACGACGCACACACCCTGAAGTATACAGAAAAAATTAAAAAAAAACAGAGAACTATATCGATGCATTCCAAATCAAACTAAACACAACCACAACTGGAATGCATAAAACGTGTAAATGTTTACTTAACCAGCTTCAGACCGATCAACAATTAATCACGATAAACTATCTATTTCAAACTTTCAGATGCTATCGCAATTCAACCAATTATAATAAATATACGCGCGGTAAGTTTAATAAATAATTTTCATTAACAGCTAGAATTTTACTCTCGCCAGAAATTAGTTTAAAAACATTGTCTGGATCATTCGGATGGTCCCTGGTGTATACGAAATCGAGTGGAAAGACGTAACGAATCGATGAGGTCGAAACAAACATCCGGTGCCCGCTGATTGGCCGAACGACAACTGGATGACATCGTTTTCGGGCAATCGGGAGGGGATCGGGCGTCTCTGCTCGCCGTTTCCTTGCAATAATATTTGCACTGGCACGTCTGATCCATTAAGTCCGCCATCAGGCAGCGCTCAGTAAATTATTTATCGCCTCTTCCCCGTCGCTATTCCCTCCCCCGTCTCATCTCGCTGATTTCATCGCGATACTTCGAATTTACGATCTGGGAATACCCGTACGTTTCCTAGAGGTGTCGCGAGCACTCGTGACGTCAAACCTCTGACGTAACGAGGACTCCTAGGATTCGAACCACAGCGATATTATCTCTATGGTTACAAACGCCACCACCAGGATGCGTGACGTACCATCCAGGAATCTCTTTGTTCATTGGCCGACGAAATTCAGGCGGTACTTTTGAACGATGAAATTTTGTTTAGGGAATTTTGTGAATATTTTAGAAAACATCAAATCCAAAAAGTTTCAAAAATAGACGAACGTATAAATCTGATAATTTTGTATGTTCTATTATCACTAAAATTATATTAATAAACGATACTAAAAGACGTAAAATGTTTAATAATTAAACGCAGAGTGTAATAATTTATATCAAGGAAAGTAATTATTAATAGAGTGAATTATAGAGTGAATTTTTGTAATGATTTTTTTTAGTAAAGGTAAAATAAATAGCGTCGCCCGAATCTTTCCAAAAATTTCGACAGATAACGTAGAATAGAATTTGTTCGTACGAGATTCGAGTGTAGAGGAAACCAGCGTCGAACGTAATTTGGGGCGACCACGCGCATTTAATTTTAATTTTCTCGAAAACTAAACGTCGTACGACACAAATTTATTAAACGTTTTCGATACAAAATTTATAGGAGATTCAGACAGCCTTGTTGGACGAGTAACAGGATAAGGAAGAAACTAGGTGAAACGAGAACAATTCATGTTCGACGATCGTTTATTGCAGTTTTTGCAATCGATATAAAAATACTGTACATTGTTAATAGGTCGCACGATCGCGTACAAATGAAATGCACGAACGGCGCCGTTTGAGGAATGGAAATCCAAATTTCGCTGCGCTAGAAGTAACAAAAAAAAAAAAGAAAACAATTGGAAATGAAATCGATGAATTATTTCAAACTCGATTTGCTTCGACCTCCGCCATTTTTAATTAAATTATTAATTCTAGCCTAACAATAGGGTGGTCTTCCAACGATTTTTTTAAATCTATTTTAACATTCGCACGTGCCCCAAATCTTGGCAAATTTTAAATAACGAGATACAAAGAAATTTTTCGTTGAGATCTTGGAACATACGACCTTGAGATCATCTCTTTGGTTTTTACAGTATTATACTCCGCTCCAAATCGAACAATGTTTACCTTCGACATTTTCTTATATTGTAAAAAATACGCGAGATATTTAAGACGTAAGTGGTGACACATTCTGTATACGACAGACGCTAGTTACCATGGCGACCGCTAGGCGGTGTCGCGCTCTCGGTGGAGACACTCGGAGGCAATGTACACAGGTTGTTCGATAAATGTTGGAAGTCGTTGAAAGGGATGGTTCGGCAGGTGATTTGAAACCACTTTTTCCTTAGCGAAAATATTGTCCGAGGCTTCGTTCAGGAGATATTAACGGAAAACATTGACCAATCAGAGCGCGAGGATGCCGGTGGAGCGCCAGCAGTAGGCGTGGCTACGCGCTAAGCGGGAGCGCTCATACGCTGCCGCGAGCGCTCCACTGGTATATGCGCGCTCTTGAGGTTTTCTGTTAATACCTCCTCAACGAAGCCTCGGACAAAATTTTCGCTAAGGAAAAAGTTGTTTCAAATCACCTCCTGAACCACCCCTTTCAAGGTGTTACAAAGTTTTTGGGACACCTTGTATATACAGAGTAGAGGTGATTTGAAACAACTTTTTCCTTAGCGAAAATGTTCTCCGAGGCTTCGTTGAGGAGATATTAACAAAAAACCCCGACCAATCAGCGAGCGCTCCATTGGCATACTCACGCTCTGATTAGTCCCGAGTTTTCCGTTAATATCTCCTAAACGAAGCCTCGGACAACATTTTCGCTAAGGAAAAAGTTGTTTAAAATCACCTCCTGAACCACTTCTTTCAAGGTGTTATAAAGTTTTTGGGACACCTTGTATATACAGAGTAGAGGTGATTTGAAACAACTTTTTCCTTAGCGAAAATGTTCTCCGAGGCTCCGTTGAGGAGATATTAGCGGAAAACACTGACCAATCAGAGCGCGCGTATATCGTTGGAGCAGCCGCAGTAGGCGTGGCTACGCGCTAGGCGGCCGCGCTCATAGGCCACCGCGAGCGCTCCACCGGCATCCTCGCGCTCTGATTGGTCAGTGTTTTCTCTTAATATCTCCTAAACAAAGCCCCGTCCGACATTTTCGCAAAGGAAAAAGTTGTTTCAAATCACCTCCCGAACCACCCCTTTCAATGACCTCCAACATTTTTCGAACACCCTGTATACATATATCATCGACTCGTAAAATAATCCGTGGGAAATGTCAATCTCTCGTCGCAGTTATTCCATGTACATGTTTATAAACAATTCTTTTTCACATAATTTAAGAATTATTCCGACAATAACAATTTATAAGAAACAACAAATAAGTTCATAGTTAACGATAAGTAGCCAAGAATATTTTGAGAAGAAAAAATGGCTTCGTGTTTACTGAACCGATGTATAGAAAAATAATCGAGATAGAAATCTCGAAATTTTTAAGGTTTCGGCAATTTTTACGTCAACTTTTTAGTCACGAAATAAAAAATTGCAAGTATATTCACAGTTAAAACTTTTGAAGGTTCGTTGGCACGTCGGTTAATGCTCAAATTAAGAGCTCGAGTTTCGCATGAATTTTTTTTTATATAATCTGCAAGGTCTTTAAAATGGTTGCATAAATTTCAAAAATCTTAAGGAGCCACCCTAACCTAACAATGCGAATACGCGCGTCTCAACGTCGTTTTTGTGGAAGATTGCCGAATACAACATTAACAAGTAAGCGCATCGTTCGATTTCGTGGGAGATGGGCAAAATTCTTATCCGAATAAAAAGTTAATCTTTAATTATGAAAATTTCAGCTTTATAAAGAAATGCTTGACGACAAAAACAAATAAGAATTTTAGTAAGGTCGCCGCGTTATTATTTATTCGAATGAAATTATTGTCAATCTCCCATCTCGGGACAACGTATTTACAGTGTTATTTACAAAGCTCCTCGTTGCCCACTGTTTACTTCGGAACGAGGAATAATAAATTATTGCGTGTTCCGGCCATCGTTGTACATAAACATAAACTATTCGCGAATCTTACTTGGTAAATCGTTGACAAAAAATATACATACTATTATATACAGTCTCTCTTAACGAAAATATACAGTGGAGCTTACATACTTAACCTACTCGACTATGTACAGTTCTCTTCTTTTCTTTTCCTTTTTTTTTTTTGGTATCGTTAGCTGTACGTCCAAGGCACTCGAGCGGGCACTTGGTTGTTTATAATTAAATATTTGTTTTACTATAATACACGCAAGGCACGTTGGCACGTCTCCTCGATTCACATATGGAAGTAGAAAATAACTTCGTACTAAGTAACTATCTGTGTAACATTTACACGCAAGGTGTCTCAATAAATTAGAGACCTACTGTTTCTGTTTCGGACACCCTGTATATAGGAATCACAATTTTTTATCAAAACTATTCGTTATCAGTGTCTCTTCTCGTTTCTAAAAATACGTATTCTACGAGCTCTTATATTTTTTGCAACATTAAATCTTTGACGAGCTTTAAACAAAATAAAGAGCTTTGCAAAATAGGATTTTACAATTGTTCTTTAACGAGAAATCCCTTTTGCAAAGCACTTTAATTACTCGAGATCATTTAACGTCGAGGCAATAATCCAAAAATGCATCTAGGACCTTTCGCGAAACGAACAGAAAAATTAGTATCAAGTCCGAAAACATTATTCCTCGATGTTTGTTTCATGGCACGTACTGGAAAATTATTTACAGTATCTTTGGTTAACAACTTTTGGTTGGTCTCTTTGGCAACTGCGTTTCTGTAATTGTTATCAAATTCTCTAATTGTTATTCGAATGATAAAATGACGAGTGGTCGCTGTCGTGTGTTGCTTAGAATTACGTACACTCCACGACGCAAGGCTGGAGCCTCAAACCGGTTCAAACATGTTCAAAATGGTTTTCAAGCAGTCCGAAACGTTCATTAAGTAGAGTTCAAGTTTCAAAGAGACTGAAAATGGTTATAAAAGCGACTTAAAACGATTTCTAGTCGGTTCAAACCGATTTGTAAGTGGTCCAAACAAGATCAAAA